AATCTATCTAAATATGATTAAGTATATTTACAATAACAAATCAAAAATGTAATAAGCATGTTGTTTCAATTCTATTATAGTTTAAGAATTAATGATAGATAATCTATTCTTCTTGTGCTATATAAATGATGAATTTTAAAATCTAACCTTAATTTTATGAATATTTACAGATACTAAAGGAATATATATATTCTTCTCTCTTTTTTTATAAATCAATTGTTTCAAAGTTTCTTTTTCTTTCAAGACCTAGAAATTCTATCTAATAAAAAAACTATCTTCAAATTAAAAATCAAGTGTAATAATTAGATTAACCTCTTCTAAAACCTAAATGATTGATATGAATTATTATTCTTGATTATTTCTCTAAAAATAAAAATAAGTTTAAAATAATTGGTTCAATTATCTTAAATCTTATCATGCATAGATATCTAGAATTTTACATTAGATCCTTAAACAATCCTTTATCATATTTAAAAATATTAATTGTAAATCTATTCAATAATAAACTCTTTAAATTCAAATTTCTCTATTATTCAAATATACAATACATTGTTAATGCTAAAGTTATTATGAATATTTGAAAATCATTATAACGTTTGAATTGCTAATAAGCTTTTGATAATAATTTATTAATGATCACATAAATATAAATATATATTTTCTATTTGTTAATATATATCTATTAGTATGTATTTTTATTTAAAGTATTTACTAAACATATCCTAAAACAAATCATAAGCAATCATAAATATTAATTAATTTTCTTAATCTCTGTTAATAAACTATTTGAGCTCTTATGATAAATAACTATATGAATTGTATAAATTTTATAATATATAGAAATTCCTATTTTATTCAGATTAATGAATTAAAACAAGAGGTATTTATGTAAAAAAATAAAAATAATTTCTATACAATATAATTTAGAATCATTTTCAAAGATATCTAAGAAAGTAGATTAAATAAATCTAATTTTGAATCATTAATTAACCTTAATATAATCTGATTAATACATAATTAAATAACTGCTTTTGAATATACTTTTACAAACAAAATAGTAATATATATTGGATTGCTTTTGTTATACATTTAATTCTATTTAAATAATTATTTAATTGCAAATAAAAAAACATCAATTAAATTTGAAATAATATTATTATATAAATTATTAAAAAAATCACATCATTTTTGTTAGATGAAAATATGATATTTCTAATGATATCCAAATTTTTATAATAATATTTTATTATGATATTTTTTTAGTTTGATTTCATTTACTTCTTTTAAATATAAGATCAATTTTTGTATTTTAAATCTTAATCTATGGTTATTAGAGACATTTTTAATTAATTGAATGAAATAGCCCACATGTACAGACTCACTCTATTCTCTTTATAATGGTGGTCTTGCTTGTAGTCCAACTTCATGTGGATAATTGAGCAAATGTTTACCTTTGAACACATAAAGAAATTCTGGTTTAGGAATTGATATAAAAGGTTGTTGTAGAAAATCAATACTTGACCCAAATGCATTAAATATTATTATTTATATCCTAATAATACCAGTTATAGGGATAGGAAGTTTGGGTGCATTAGGAGGTAAATAATAAGTTAGATTACTTTTAGGAGGTACAGTGAAAAGACCTTTTTTATAAGCAATATTAAATTATGATGCAACAATTGCAGGTGATATAACATCATGCTTAATGTTTAGTGCTTAATTGGTGAATATGATATTCATCCTTTTCTAGAAGTATATTCTGTATAGAATTTAGTCATCCTGATGTAGAAGAAAGACCAATAATCAATTATGAGATTGGCTTAATATATACATTAGGAATTCCAATTAGTATGTGTATGGGTAGTGAATTAGCAAATTTTCTACCTTTATTACCATTATTGTCATTTTAAGTGTTATTTTTTGTTGTTATTTCTCCAGTTTTATTATATTATGCTAAGAAATAGGATATAATAGAAAAAAGTAAAGAGACAAATAGTGATTTAAGAAATTAATCAGCACTATTAAGTTTAACAGAGATGAAAGATCAAAACTAATACAATGAAAATTAGGCTAAATTATATAAGATATTTTATGATGAGCAATGTTAAAGATTTCCATTAACACCAATTCTTATAACTTTATTTAATTTTTCAATTAACGAAGTAATAATAAAAGATGAATTAGTTAATCTTATTGATGAGATCTTCTCCATAACAATTGTCACCATATTTCTTTCCAAGTGGCAATACTAATGATACTGAAAATAAAGATAAGTAACCATGTTAACCTTGGAACTTTTATGTAGTTCTACTTTTGATTGCTGTCAATTTGATAATTACAAGTCTGGTTTATTTTTTTTAAAGGAAAAAAGAATTATTAAAAGACACAATAAACTTTTATAATCATGAAAGGTATTATAATTAATTTGAGAAATTCTTTTTAATTTATACTGCAGGATGGGCAACTGGATTTGTAGCAGGATTTGTTGGTATGGCTGCAGGTTTAATGATGGTTATCACAATGGTACAATTTAAATTGATAGCTGCTGTTGCTGGTGCTACAGCTAATTATTGTTATTTTTTAATCTGTTTATAAGTATTTACTGATCTTATAGTTGGAAATATTTAAGATTCAATAATTTCTATTGGAGATTAATTCTTCTTTTATGGATTAGGAGTATTTATTTATATAATTATATTATTAGATAATTGGTGTACTTACATTTACTAATTTAGGATATTATTATTTAAAGAAGTATAAATTTGGACATATAATATTTTATATTGATTTTGGAATTGTAATATTGAATATATTTGGAAATATTGCTTGGGGAGTTGAAAATAGTAATAGATATGGATTTGTTGCATTAGAGCAATAACCTTTTACATGTACTTCTTATAGCAATTGAAATAAATTATTATATTTATGTAATTTAATAAATCACAAAGTGCAGCATAATTTCGTTTATAACTAGCATCAACAACAAATAGATCTAATTTTAATACTAAAATCTTAAGTCCTAGTCCTAGTCCTAAATCTTCTTAAAGTTTCAGATCTAAATAAGCTATTGAACTTATAGAAAGTATATTATTGTAAAATATTAGTATAAAATAATTTTCCATAAAGAGAGTTATTTTTTGAAATATAAAGACTATGGAATGAAAATAAGATTCCTGAAATACATTAGAAGTATTATTATTTTATATTGACTTCAAATCTTGCATGTCAAGAATATCTAATGAGATTAGAAATTGAAAGTTATAAACTACATGGAAGCATAATCAAGACTTTGCATCAATTAACTATCAGTAGAGAAATTTGTTTACATGAAGCATTAGCAATATAATAAAGTGAGAATATTATAGAATTTGTATGCCTTATTTCAAATTACATTTATGATCTTAGAAAAATTACTTTAAATCTTGTAGAATATTAGAGAAAATGGGTTAATAAATTATATATTTAATATGCTTATAATTACTAATGGATTTATTAAGGAGAGAATTACATTTTGAAAATTAAGAAAGATCATAAATTACTGTTTCAAAAAAATCCTGTATTAATGAAATTCTTTCATATAAATGAAAATGCTGATGATATTTTTTATTTGGAAATTATTAATTAAGCCTATGAAAGAGATTTAGAATATTTTGATTATTTAACTAAACATAAACTTGATCAAAAATATTTAAAAAGAATTAAAGAATTATAAACTTATATAGCAGTTTCATTTGCATCTAAATAATTAGAAAATAAGAATTAAACAATAATAAAAACAAAAACAAAAACCAATTTCTTTAAGACAAAAGAATTATAAAGTGGTTAAGTTACATCTAGAAAAGGGAGTATAAATAAACTTTAGATTGAATTACCACCACTTCCTGAATATAGAAGTTAAGTAATTTATAAATCAGAAGATATATAATTTATTATTAAAGATTGGCCAATAAAGGATATTCCTTAAATTTTAAGTTTTTGGTTATCTACAAATTTTGAAGATTTTCATAAGAGTTTTTTATAACCTTCTACTTATATATAAGAAACTTTGAGTTATGGATTAGAAGCTATAATGTTATAAATATCTGATTTAGGAATAATATTAGCAAGTGTTGAATAAGATTGTAATATTAGAAAATGGGTGATTCATTTAATAGTGTGTAAAGAATAAATATTTGATAAAATTGTACATCATTTTATTAGAATGTTAATAAATAATGGAGATTCATTTGAGTAATTAGGTATAAATTTTACTTTATTGGAATGTTTTGAATATAATCTAAAAATACTTAATTTTTATTTTTCTAAGATAATAACAATTGAAAATTTGAAGGTTAATTATACTTAATATGTTTTGGATATTAAAAGAACAGAATAAGAATAATAAAGTATGTAAATTATTAATGATCCTATATGTTTTATATATGCAAGAATTTTATCAAGAATAAAAAAATTAGTGTTAAATAGCGATGAAGAAATAATGGAGTGTTAATTCTGTGCTAATTTAGGTAAGTCTAATTTAATAGTGTTTGATGATAAGACTTAAGAAAGCGCAAAATATTTAGTTGTAAATACTAAACAATATTATAATTTTAGAAATAGAAAATATATGGATCTTAGTTTTAACATATGTAAAATGTTAATGATGTTTTGAAAGTTTGTCAAAGATTTAAATCTCCAATAAAAACTCCTGTTTATTTATAATATTTCAATATGAAATTATAATTTAAAGTATTTTCATCAGAAATTCACAAATAAACATATTAACCTTATATACGTTTTCCATAAGTATAGTATAATTACTTAATAAGAGATCTAAAGGTAGTTTAGAAGAAGCATCATTATTGTAATTGTCAAGTAATGATTAAAATAGTCTACGTAAATTATATCTAATATCTACAACAGATCCATTTATTAAAATGTAAAAAATGAATTTATAAATATTAGATATATTTTTGAATTAAAAAATGATGAGATTACTATAAATATTCAATCTATAGTGAATGANAATAATAAAAACAAAAACAAAAACCAATTTCTTTAAGACAAAAGAATTATAAAGTGGTTAAGTTACATCTAGAAAAGGGAGTATAAATAAACTTTAGATTGAATTACCACCACTTCCTGAATATAGAAGTTAAGTAATTTATAAATCAGAAGATATATAATTTATTATTAAAGATTGGCCAATAAAGGATATTCCTTAAATTTTAAGTTTTTGGTTATCTACAAATTTTGAAGATTTTCATAAGAGTTTTTTATAACCTTCTACTTATATATAAGAAACTTTGAGTTATGGATTAGAAGCTATAATGTTATAAATATCTGATTTAGGAATAATATTAGCAAGTGTTGAATAAGATTGTAATATTAGAAAATGGGTGATTCATTTAATAGTGTGTAAAGAATAAATATTTGATAAAATTGTACATCATTTTATTAGAATGTTAATAAATAATGGAGATTCATTTGAGTAATTAGGTATAAATTTTACTTTATTGGAATGTTTTGAATATAATCTAAAAATACTTAATTTTTATTTTTCTAAGATAATAACAATTGAAAATTTGAAGGTTAATTATACTTAATATGTTTTGGATATTAAAAGAACAGAATAAGAATAATAAAGTATGTAAATTATTAATGATCCTATATGTTTTATATATGCAAGAATTTTATCAAGAATAAAAAAATTAGTGTTAAATAGCGATGAAGAAATAATGGAGTGTTAATTCTGTGCTAATTTAGGTAAGTCTAATTTAATAGTGTTTGATGATAAGACTTAAGAAAGCGCAAAATATTTAGTTGTAAATACTAAACAATATTATAATTTTAGAAATAGAAAATATATGGATCTTAGTTTTAACATATGTAAAATGTTAATGATGTTTTGAAAGTTTGTCAAAGATTTAAATCTCCAATAAAAACTCCTGTTTATTTATAATATTTCAATATGAAATTATAATTTAAAGTATTTTCATCAGAAATTCACAAATAAACATATTAACCTTATATACGTTTTCCATAAGTATAGTATAATTACTTAATAAGAGATCTAAAGGTAGTTTAGAAGAAGCATCATTATTGTAATTGTCAAGTAATGATTAAAATAGTCTACGTAAATTATATCTAATATCTACAACAGATCCATTTATTAAAATGTAAAAAATGAATTTATAAATATTAGATATATTTTTGAATTAAAAAATGATGAGATTACTATAAATATTCAATCTATAGTGAATGAGATTTTTGAAAAATATGATAGAAAAAGTTTATCATAATATAATATATGGCTACCTTTTTTTAGTTGTATTGGTAATAGATAAAATTTAACAAATTGCAAATTATAATCTTATTTTACTAGTGAAACTTTTTTTGAAATTAATTTTCCTAGAATTGGAATGAATAGTGTTAATTATAGTTTTGAAGGAGAAAAATTAATTAATTTTCCATTTATAATAGGAATTGTTTAATCAGATTTAGATTACATTAATAAACCAATATTTTCAATGTTAGTATAATAAGAAGATATAATAAAAAAATATTAACCAATTTAAGTAGCAAAGAAAATAGAATAAGATTTTGAAGTGTTAGTAATGTAAATTAATCCTAAAGATATTGAATTAAGAATTAAAGAAATAGTTAGATTTTCATGTTAAATAACTCATGATTCATTTGAATAAGATTCATAAAAATTAATTGATATTATGTATTATTAGTAAGAATCTTGTGTGTTATAGTTTTTTATAGAAAATTTAGTTCAAGGATATTGTATATTATATGTAGATTAAAATAAGATTAATGAAAGAATTTGGATTATAGAAATGATATCATGTAAATCTGAATGTTTTTTTGATATCTTTTTAATTTAAATAATAGATTTAGTTTTTAGATAAGATGAATCAGCTTCAGAAATATTAATAGCATAAGTAAAATATTTAATTATTATAGAATCATTATGCATAAAATAATGGATAGATTATGGCTAATAAATATATCTCAGAAGCGATAAAAAAAGTTGGATTCAAATGGAGAATAGTTGAGAATGATTATAAAACTTAATTAAGGAGGACAATATTTACAATTAAACGATCTAATTCTTAGTATACTATTATTTAAATCACAAAATTAGCTAACCTAGAGTAGAACATAATATTTCTATTAAATTTAATTCATATTATTCACTCTAATAATCTGAAGCAAGAAATGAAGAAACCAATACATTAAGTTATTTAAAAACTAAAACTATATTTTAGTTTGCTGAAGATTGTTTTCATTATAATTTGCATAAACCATATGAATAAAATCAATTTATTATTGATAAAATAAAAAATAATTTAGCTTAATTACCAATGACAAAATTCACTGAATTTAAAAATGAAAAAGATGTTATCAAATATCTTGATAAATTAACATCTTATCCTTCTATTGATCCAAAACATACTTAAATTATGACTTAATATACAAATCTCTAGTTAAAATGGTTAAGATCAAGAGAAATTATTATAGAAAGATCAAAATACATAGAAATACCTAATGAATAGAATTATATATATTATTCTACTTTCCCAAAAATGAATCTTAAGATTTATTATGTTAAATTATTCAATCCAGGATATTATTTTTTTGCAATGGAAATAGCTCATAATCAAATTGAATCTATTAGAGATGATTATGTTATATTCACTGAAAGAATCTATTAAGTAAATATTATTAATTTAATATAGGAATTTCATAATAAATAACCATAAACCTCATCTGATCTCTATATACCTTAATTTTAAACATGTCTTACTATAAATGAACCCTTACCCAATTGGTCTTTTATTAAATTCTCATTGACCTATAATCACACAATAACTTAATCTATTATTAAAGATTTAGGGAATAGAACAATTAGAATTCATATGCCTTTTTTGGCAGGAATAATTTAAGAAGATTTAGGTTTAAGATATGAAAAACCAATGGTGACATTTATTGCATCTGAATATATTGATTGACATATATAAATTTTTAATTGTTTTTATAATCTTCATTTCATGCTATTTTATAATGTACGTTGCACACGAATTATAAATTCAAATTAAAATTATTATGAACTACAGATCTAAAGATCACTTTTCATCTCTAAATAACCTTATTTTTGATATCAATTCAATCAAAAAGTCATAAGAAAATACATCATTCCAAAAAGAATATCAAATTGATGTTTCTCCTACATAAAAGAAAATTATTAGACTCAAAAAATAAGAGATCAATTATCATAGTTTAGTTGATTTAAAATAACTTAATAAAAGTAGAAATGTAGTTCTACCTAATTATGAACCAACTAGATGTTCTTAAAATAATAATGGTCTAATTAAAGCTTATGCTGCAAATACAAATTAAGGAATCATAAGAAATTATAATGAAGATAGAGTATCCATAATATTGAATATAATCAAACCATAACATAGATCTTAAGAAACTTGGCCTAAATGTGCATTTTTTGGAGTTTATGATGGACATGGTGGTTCAACTTGTGCTGATTTTTTAAGAGATAATTTACATTAATATGTAACTAAATAAAGTGAATTTCCATGGAATCCTATAGCAGCAATTAAAAAAGGATTTTAAATGGCTGAAAAAGATTTTCTTAATTAAGCTTTAGAATAATATGGAAAAGGTAAACAAGAAAGAAGTGGATCCTGTGCTTTAATTAGTTTAGTAGTAGGAGATTATTGTTATGTGGCAAATGTTGGAGATTGTAGAGCAATATTAAGTTTAGAAAAAGGTAAAAAATTGATGGAGTTATCAATTGATCATAAACCGGAAATAGAATATGAAAGAATTTAAAAAAATGGAGGTAAAATATACTAAACACATCTAATAAATGAAAATGGTATGTAAATAGTTGGACCATATAGAGTGTTCCCTGGAAGATTATCAGTTTCTAGAACATTTGGAGATATAGAGGCAAAATTAGAATAATTTGGTGGTAATAGAAATGTAGTTATAGCAGAGCCAGAAATATAAATATTTCGTATTACATAAGAAAATGATTTTATTGTTATGGGATGTAAGAAAATATAATATAATTTTTTAGGTGATGGAATATTTGATAAGATGAAATCAGAAGAAGTAATAAAAAAGATTTGGACAGAACTTGAATAATAAAAGAATACTAATAATTTACATATTTAGATTTCAGCAGCAGTTGATTCTGTTCTTAAAGAAGTTGTACTACGTAAAAGTAGTGATAATATTACATTACTTATTGTTGCTTTCAATGAATTAATCATTTAATAATAGACATAATAATCAAAAATAAATTCAATTTCTAATTAAATTGAATTATTATAAGCATTTTTAAAGAATAAAATTAATGATGAAAATTAACCAGAATCTAATCAAAAAAAATAAAGTCCAGTAAGTTAATTATTTCATAAAGGTGAAAGAAAACATTTAAATTTAAAAGAGAATTAAGATACAACTATTAATAGAGTAAGATCAAGTTTTAATTTTTGATTCATATTAAATTTGTCTTCATAATTAATTTATTAATATCATTTAGTAATTGATTACGTATCTTTAGGGAATAAATTTAAAAAGTTTTTCCTTACTTATTAACCAAATAGAAAATTTTATCTATAATCATTAAACTTTTGACTTGACTTTATATAATATAAATATATATATTTACATTTTATTGATATTTTTTTAATTTTCTATAACTTTCTTTACTTTTTGAATTTAAATTTTATATCTAATTATTTAAAATCTCTTTTTATTTCTTCCATTTCATAGAATTTTCAGCTTATTTACTATTAGATAATAAAAATGCTTAATCTACAGCTTTTTAACTTAGTATACCAAATAAATGAGCAGGATCTTATTTTTATTATCCACATTTTTATTATACTATCTATAAATTATTATTATTATAATTATTACTGATAAATCTTATGCCCAAACAGGTATTTTTTTATTATTACAATATAATCTTTTTTTCTTTGGAGTATTATGATCAATTTTTATTTAACTTTCTGATGTTTTTATTAGAAATGGTAAACTATTTTCATTTTAATTTTCAATTATTTCAGGTTATATATCAATTATTTATTTTTAAAAATCCATTATAGAAAATTCTTCACTATCATCATCATCTTCTTATTCTTCATCCCAATAGAAATTATGAGAATTTTCAACTGAAAAATCATCACTATGAGATGTTATTTAATAAGAGATATCTGCATCTTCATACCAATTAGATTTAGCTTGAGAAAATTGATTATTTTTTTCAAACTTCCTATATTTTTATTATTATTTCTTTTTTTAATCTTATTAAATATCAGAAAACTCTCTTATATAGTGTTCATCTTTAATTTATGATAATTCTATTGAAGGATCTACATTATCAAGTTCTCTATCTATCTTTTCACTCATCAATATATCTTATTATTTATCAATCTTTATTTATGATAATTACTATGATAATGTTTCTACACTTTTGGTACTTTAATGAACACTAAAATATTAAGGTTATTGATATTTATTTTTTTATATAGCAGTAACTGGTTATACATATATATCTAAAGAATGTTCTAAACTTTTAAATTGTCTATTCTTTAATAATGGTGAATACAAGGATGATTTTCTATTATTATATTCTTCTTAACTTTCTAAAACAGGTTATAATCCAGGATTATAGAGCTAATTACGAAGAAAATTTAAATGAATCAAACACAATTATTTAAAATCATTTGTTGCATCTATTACTGTGCTTGTAAATAGATGTTATCTCTCCATCTACAATTTTGTGTACAAACTAGCTTAAGCTGCAACTTATAATGATAACATAAGAGCTGACTTTCCAAAATCTACTTAAGGATTCATTTAATTAATTATTAAACTCAAACACACCATTAATTTTATAAATTTACTAAATCAATTCATATAATTATATTTATTATTAAAATTTCATAATTCTGAAATTCTTTAAAGTATTTATATTTATCCATTTGATCCTGGAACAGATTCAGATGAAAATAGTGTAACACATTATGAAAATGTTATCTATTAATGACTATAAGGATCTATAATATTCAAATATTTTTAAATATCTAAATCACTAGCATCAAAATTTAAAACATCTATTAAATTTCTAAATTCATTCTATAAATAATTAAATTTAATTAATACTTCATCAATTATTCCATTTAGATCTGTATCCATTTCTTTAAAAATTACAATAAATTTTTTTAAATACTTTTCATGAGATTTAAGTTAAAAGTCCAAAATTATTTTTTGAAATACTTAATATTCTAATTTATATTTATCTTTCTCTTATAATTACATTAATTATTCTTCTCTTGTTAGTCTTCTATCATTTGGTTTTTGTGGAACTATATAATATTATTTCAATTTATCTAATAATAATTCTGAGTCCTCTTAATTGTACATATATTTAATAATGTCAACTGCCTCTTCTTCATATAATTATCCATTAATTCTTTAATTAAGCATCTCTTTAATTTCAGCTTGATGTTTCAATGGATGTTTTCCTCTTAAATACATCTAAAATTATCATCAAGTTACTAAAATACTTTCAATAATTCCTACATTGTATTCTTCACTTGAGTTTATACAAATCGAAATTCTTCATCACATTCATTCCTTAATATCTTACCAAATACAGCTATATCATTATCTTCAGCAGCATATTTCTTAAGAGAATTTATTATTGAAGTTGCCCATTCAATAATAAGATTTTTTAGTCCATATTTTTGATTTAAAAATGTATACATATGCTATTCCATAGTTTCTCTAGGTAATTTAGAATCAGTACACTTTTAATCAAATTTTTGTTTACTTTCATAAATTTCATTTATAACATCCTTTAATTATTTAAGAGTTAAATTTCTAACATTAACTTATTATGGTATAGAATTAACTTATTATGATTATTTTGATTAAAATATTTGATTATTATATTATTAATTATTATGTTATTGAGAATTCTTTGTATAAACTTAAGTTTAATAAGTATCTTATTATTTTTAATTATTATCATTATTTGACAATGAAACTTTTTCACCTTTTGAATGCTTTATTAATAAATCTAAATATCTTTTATTTTCACTCTCTAATTCATTATTTATTTACTATAATTCTTTTAATTCTTATCTAAGTCTATTTTCAACACTTTTATCTACTTACTATTATTAGGATTAATCTAATTATTTTTAGTTAATCTATAATTATGAAGTATTTTTAGAAGATGGTTTTACATTCTATATAACATTGCTCATATCATTAAAAATAGATAAATGCATATCATGAATTTTACTAAATATTAAATCTAATTTCTTTTCATTTGATTTGAAATATTTAAGAATAGATTTAAAACAAATTTCATATAAATTATATTTAGCCTATATTAAATTAAATAGATACTGTTAAGATATATAAATTTGTTAAATGATCTGGGTTATTTTACTTTACTTTAGATTATAAATCTAACATGATTGTTCTAATCTATTAATCAAAAAGTTTATCATCTTATTCATCTTTTTTATATTCTCTAATATTATCATATAAAATCTAGTATACTAATATAGAAATACTGCCATTTATTCAAGATCATATTATTAAAGTGTAATTTCTTACTGAGCACTCATAGATCTCTCTGATTATTATTGACTTTATTATTCTGAAGTTTCATCAACAGGTTCTTAGTCTTAATTTATTTTTTAAGAATTCAAAATTTATAGATTTGGAAGTGATTCAATTATAAATTACTCCTCTTCTTTTGAAGATAGACTTATTTCAAGTTAAATTAAATTAGGCATTGTTTACAAAGCTTCCACTACTTATCCTAACTGAATATGATTTAAGATTATATAAAGTTACATCGGTAAAAATGTTATTTGTCAAACACAAAACTTCTACAGTATCTAATAATTCCAAATCATCTGGTAAATTAGTTAGACGATTTCCATTTAGATTTAGCTTTATTCTT